GAGCTATGGTCAGGTCCATTTCCACTCACATTTTGCTTGTCTTTGGTTTCAAATGGACTAGTTGGGGGAAAAGCCTCTCCTACACCTATTACTGTTGTCACAGTCCAAAGGTGGTGAATATTAGTAAAGTAAAGACTGCCATCCTGAACAGCTAAACACTGCTTTGGTCCCTCTCCAAAGAGAGGGTTAAGATTAGGCTCTAGGCAGGAAAAAGCACTAAAGATAAACAGAAATAGAAACCCCCTCAAGTTATTTCTGAAAGGCTTTGGGGAGATATGGTGACAAGGCAAATTCAGAGTCCACTGCAACGTCTGTTCGGTGCCTAGAAGCTCTCAAAAATGTACCCCTTTGCACACAATTTATCTGCCACCTTCTAGTCGCCTCTGGTACGAGATGATAACCAGTGGTAGCACCTGTGTTAACAGCCTCCCTTCTTTTTTTATTCCTTTGATGTTGAAAGTAGCTCATTTTCTCTGAAGGAGCGTGAAAGGTTCCCACGGATCTTTGCCCTGAGCGCTCACAGTAATAGAAAACTAGATTCAGTGTCATGGGTCTAAAACATCTTTATTTAGAGCTGTTTAGGGGTTAGATTCCCTGTTTATTTACGCTTTGTTTTGGAATGCAGGGATGTGTGGTATTTGTATGCTGCATGAGGGACATTGTCAGGAGTAAAATGTGGAGAGGGGAGTCCTGCCTGTGGCAAGGTATCTGCGGCTTCTGCATGCTCCTTGTCTTTGATCTCTTGCACGTCTTGAGGGTGGATTTGGGTGTGTGCTTGTTCTCTCCCTTTCCCTTCCCTGTGGTGCTTCAAACCAGACACTTTGTTGACATTGTACCATGGCACTTAGCAGCACACGTGCTGTAATGCTGTTATTTTTCACCAGCCAGCTGTTCCACTTTATACAACACTTAAGTAACAATTTCACAGCCATTACCAGCCTGCAGTAATGACATGGGCTGAAAGCTAAGTGCTAACTGGTTGTAAACTGCAAAAACTGGGAGATGCTAAAACAGCCACTTTGATGAATGAGAAAGGACATTGCCTGCATTTTAATTGGTCGAGTTGAAGCCTCGTTTATCACTAGAGTAAACTTAGTGTTTAGTGGGTCATGAGATAGAATTGGGAATCACTATCTTTATGCACTTAGGAAATATATTTCCTTGATTTCAGGTGTGATGTATTGATTCTGGGAGTTCCTTCTATGTTGTGGTTGGTTTTTTTCTCCCTTCTCTTGATTTGTACCCTGTCAGCACTGAGGGGTTTTCAGGGATTGAGGACTCCCAAGGGCTTTGTTTGCCATGATTGATTTGGTGCAAGGGGTGAGCTACTTCTAAGTCTCAGCAACCAATGTGCTGCACTGTGAGACGTGATCCAGAGGTAAATAACAGCCTGTAGAAACACCTATGGAAGTGTTTAGTTGGATAGGTTCCTTGTTTGGGGAGGGGGGACACCAACCAAAAAAACCTCCAAAATACCAAACTCAGACAAAACCAACCACGACTGAAATGTTTAAAAGTCTTTTCTTTCCTCCTGTTTTCCAAAGTAGAATCTGGCCCAACGTGAAGTGATGGGCACAAAATACTCGAACAACTTCACTTTCTACTGCCCAGCCACAGTGTTTTAAGCAAACATACAATCTGTTGTACTTAGACTGTTAACTGTGAGCAAATATATGAAAAAGGTTTGTGAGATGCCTTTTTGCGTGTTGCAGTTGAGAAATCTTAGTAGGCTGAACTGTGGCTGAACCGAGAGGCTGTCTCAGGAGCACTCTCAAGAGCAGCTGAAGGGTCGAAGACCCAGCTTGCCCTGTGACAGCCAGGCAATTCAATAAAGCAGATTTGCAAGAAAGTAATTGAGCTGACAGTAGTCATAGTGTTTTCACCTCAGGTATCTTCAGTTTTATCTGTTGACAAATAACATACCTTTGGTTATTATTAACCCTGTTTCATCCAGGTCATTTCTTTGGTAATTGCAAAGTGCTACTGCCATTGTAAATTGGGTGAATAAAATTCTGCAATTCCCCAGCAGTGGCAAACACAGCATCGAGACATACTAGAGGAAAAAACGTTTCCTGGGATCGTGGAATTGAAGCTTTTGTGCTAATTATAGAAGTATATTTAACTGATTCTTCTGAAGAGTTCCTAACCTCTAATTCTGTAGAAAACAACAATCTTGTTGTTAATTTTCAGTAAAATTAGGGGTTTGGGGCTTTTAATAGATGACTAAATTAGACCTTATGAAAAACTCTTCTAGGAAATCCTGAACCATAGACTGCAATTACCCCAGGGAACGTACACAAGGATCTGCATTTGTTTTGAAACATTAGAAATCAGTGCAGGATGGCACTTTGTCATTGCATAAAGTGAATGTCAAGGGTAAACAAACTCAGCTTGTCTTACTGGTTTTGTGTCCATTTTTCTGGTTTACCTCATCACTCTGGCATTTAAAAGAATCCAGACAGAAAATAAGAAGATGGTATCTGTTATGTGTCTGTGTTTGTACACTTATTTTAATCTGTTTTTTAATGCTTTTTAAAAGATAAGTGAGAAATTTTCTCAATTTTCAGTGTGTGGCTGTTTACTTAGCAGCACTGAGACCCTGCATAGGTTTCTTAATTGCAGTAAAGCTATTGCATATGTGCCAGCAGAACAAGGTAGAATATGCTGTGCTCTAAGGCTGCTTTTTTCTTGATTCCCTTCCAGTTTTGTTAATAAAACATATAAAAGCATAGCTGTTTTATAGTCAATATCATCTGTTGTGTGTTTTTAAGTAGCAATTGTAGCATAGTAATTGCTCTTAACTTCCAATCATGGGAAAATGGTTGCTTTTAGGTAAGGCTACCTTTTGTTTGGGTTTCCAGGACATGTACCCTTCCCCCCCGCCCCGAAATGTTGTCCAGGAGAACTCAAGGGCATAATATCTTTCTCCAGGACTTCCAAATGTCTCACAACAGGATCAGTGTTCCTGCACGTGTCTCAGGGAGGCTCCATGACATGTAGAAATCTTAGATATACTCATTGGCATGTGCAGACTGTGGGGACAGCAATCGGTTACTGATCAAATATACCGTGCGCTACGCCAATAGTTTATTATACCTACATGGCAAACCTGAGGGGCCAACCTTACAGCACAAGCTCAAGGTATATGTGGCTTTGGGAAATGAAACCAGGCACTCACTTGCACCCCTGCAAGCAGTCTCTGGCTGCGAGTGATTCAGTTACCGTCCTGTGCTAGAGCTAAGCACAGTGGGTGGCTCCATCAAGACAGTTGCCTTCTCAAATACATAAGCTCAGGTAGGTGGCCCACATCCCACACCGGCACCTTCTCGTCAGCTGTGATCAACTATTGGAGAGACAGCTAGCACGTTAGAGAGTTAGAAGGGTGGGTATGGGTTTCTTAATTATAGCCAGATTAACTCGGAAAGATCTGAACCACCCTCATTTCCCTGTGAAGTGGGAATTGTTTTTCTCTGATTGGTCTTAGTTGACACCAAGCAGTTTTCCTTTCTTGAGGTGGAACAGAAAGGTGGGACCAGATGCTGGTCACTAGGAATAGCTAAAGATGAAAAATGTTTAATCCAGATTGTCTGGCCTTTTTCTGTCTCCCCCTCTTTCTCTAAGATGCCAGGAATGCAGTTTAATTTCCACTTTTCTTTGACCATTGATCTCTTGTCCCGAGAGATGTTTGTGGTCTGGGAGCAGTAACTGCACCTGCTTAAAATACATTTTGTGAAATTAGCATAGAAGAACGTGAATTGGCAGCCTTCATGTATTAATTCTTCCAGGTGTGCTAAGGAAATTACAGCCACTGCTATTGAGTTAGTGGTAGAAGAAATGAGATATAACCCTTTTTGTTCAAGACTGTTGAAGGAATCCTTTGGCTTTTTATTCTGAAAACATCTGTGTAGATGTTGTCCTTCAAAGATTTCACAAGTAATTTCATGCGGAGGCAGAGCTGATAGTGCTTGTTTTACTGATATTAGCATCTCTGCATGGCAGCAGCTGTTTATACAAAAAAATCACATACCTTTTTGTTTTTTTGCCCAGGATTGAGAACTTGCCATAACACTGAACGGATTTTGTGTATGAGATTTTAAGCAAATGTAATTAAACTGTCATTTCCTGACAGCTCATATAGGAGGCTATTTGACCACAATGGACTTTTTGTTTTTGTAAACACGTTCAGAAACCAAAAGTTAACAACACCAGAAACTCCTAATTCAGTAAATTGGCCAACATTATATAGCTGTGGACTAATTCAGTAGTGCCTTAAGATATATATTTACATATTTAGTTAAAGAAAGGGAGAGAAAGAATTAGGGATTACAACGCCTGCTATGAGAACCAGAAAGTACCTTTCGATAAGAGCCAGTCCAGTTGTCATGACTGTAACATTTTGTCATACAGCTTTTCCTATTGTTTAACCTTATACATGGAAACAGACTTCCCAAGAAACCACTCACTTTTAGAAAAATAAAAATATTTCTAAGTATTTTTAGGATCAGAGCTGATAGAACAGTTAAACCCAACAGTACTAAACGAAAATGAAGAAATGTTGTGGACTCAGAAAGATGATGAAAATTGGAGCAAAGATATGAAATGTCATCTTTGAGTAACAGGGAGAAGAAAAGGTAGATTTTGCTTGTAATATGAGACCTAGCAATGGTTCTCAGCTCCTCAGTCCAGATATAAGCCACAGCAACACTGACCTCTTTTTGGGACAAAAATGATACTTTCCTCTCGAATACAATAACTTCTAGTCAAGAGAGAGCCTTAACATGCACCAGAACATATCTACTCTGCAATTTAACTACGACTAAAGCTGTAATTACCATTAGTTCAGTAAGATTTCTATCTGGATATCATCTCTTCAAAATATGGAATTCTTAATTAATTCTCTCATCTCTTTTCCTTGTAATACTGTTGAACTCTAATGAGCAGTAGCATTTTCTGTGGGGCAGTAATGAGAAAATAATGAAGAAATAAGTAACAGATCGAGCTGACATTTTGTATCTAATTGGTGAAATATCCTCTTGTTCCTCCTAGAGCAAAGGTGAAGAAAGGTGTGAACATTTTCAGTGTAAGAGCCAGCAGCCCATACTTATGGGACATCAGAGAGAGCATGGATTATACTGGGAAATATGCACCAGCTGTTATTGTTTGCCAGAGGAAATCTGTTGCCTCTGAAAACAGGTAGGTCATTTCCAGCAGTCTATCTTTTAATAACTAACGGTTGTTTTTCCTTTTCAAAGCACTTTGCCATGATTTTAATAAGTTTTATTATAGCGAATGATGAAAATGCTTTTGGAAAAGCCGTGGCTCTCTTTGTTTTGTAGTGCATTGCTAATTCTACCACATACACTTTGAACAAAATGTTATTCAATCCTAATACTCAAAGGAAGTTAAAACTAGCAGGAAATATTGTTTTCACAGAGTATTTAGAAGAACATGTTTAATATCTTAGAATTCGGTTGTGACTAGTTTAATCTCTTCAAATTATTTGCTGCCAGGTGTTATAGCAGGGGGTAATTACAGGGCTGTTTGCGGTGGGGTTTTTTGGTTTGGTTTTTTACTTTTGCTTGGGGTTTTTTTGGTGGGTTGGGGTTTTTTAGGGGTTGTTTTTTGGTTTGGGTTGTTTGGTTTGGTTGTTGTTTTTTTTTTTTTTTTTATCCAGAGGAAACGAAAACATACTCCTGGTATCAAAGCCACATTTTTGTGGGTGAGGTTTATACGAATTTTTAATCTGCAGGAGGAAATAGATTTTCCATTTTCCATTCCCGTTGTGCAACAACTTAGATAGGACACTGACTTGTCTTAAACAGCCTTCATCTGGCAGGTGGATGTTCCTTTTCTAATCACAACTGATTGCTTTAATGAATACATTTTTATATAATTTGCTGCTTCTTGTTCATTGTTCCCGGAGCTGTATGTCAAGTGCATATTTACAAGGATCTGACTGCCTGTGTATGTACTGTTTGGCATTGCTGTTAGAAAACTTGCCATATAACATGTGCTGTGATTTACTTCTGAAATTTTACAAAATCTTATAGGCTTTAGGGATTAATTATGTGGTTTAGAGTTTTTAAATAAATACCCTCTGAGCCCAATAACTAGGAAGTTTCATGTCTTTGCAATCTGGGTATATGAAAAAAAGAGAAAGGGAAGAATTTCCCTTCATAATCATGACAAATAATTTTCTTCTTATTATAACTCAGATCCTAACACAATTTCTCTGCTATAGTATCCTGAATTTGCTCATCTAAACCATGTATTGTCTTGTACCTGACTGAATTCTATTGGTCAGAGAAGCAATGTGTATATGTGCCAAGGTCAGAGCTTCCTACTGTCTAGCGCAATCTGTCAGACAGATTCTTTAAAATCCCAGTTCAAAGCTATCTGAAGACAGTGTGAATATTTTCATTGACTGAAATGGGCATTGGATCAAAATCAAAGATTATTTCAGTGATGAGTTTTCCATCACACTTTATCTTGTTTGGGTCCATACAGTGCGTTTGCCTGATTTCTCTTCCTCATCAGCAAAATATAATGCAACCTCAGGGGTCAACTGAAGCTTGGCAACTTATTTCCCTTCGCAATTCATCAGTCATTGGCAAGCTTTCAAAATGACCCCTTGTACACAAAAAAAAATTATTATGTCACCTTTCATGCAGTGGTTGTGGATTCTGTGTACTTTCACATGCTGAGTATAAGCATTACTTCATGTTTATTAAAAGAAATGTGAGCTCGTATACATACTAGATTTTACTGGAAAGAAAATCAAGTGAAGACAAGGTATATGTGTAACTCTTATATAAGGAACGTCTGGTTTGACTTATTCCATCTGAGTTCCCAGTTGAGACTTTGTGGTTTTCTCACTTCTGAGAACTTCTTCCTCATTGTTTGCAAACAAATGTAAAATATTTGCAATGTATTATTCAGTATGTTGTTTTCCTCATTAAATTTAGTCGTATCTGGTTTGCTATTCATTTTAAGAAGTAAGATCAAGCATTATATGGGGAAAGAGCGTGCTCGATATTTTTTGGGAAACAATTTTTTCCTTATCTAGACATGTTTGATGTCACTAAATATGCACAAGGGATAACAGCTAAATATTGATGTCTTACCAAATTGTGTGCCTCCATACTTCATTTAGAAATTCGACAAACTCTGTTTGCTTATTGTTACTCTTAAAAATCAGAGATCTGATCACATGAATGCAAAGGTGGCAATGTTAATTAAATACAAGATTCAACACCTTTGTGTTTCTGATATTTTTACAAGGATCAGAAAATAGTGTTAATAAAGCTAACTTACTGTAACAGGTGTAATTTCATGGATTAGGGAGGCATTTGTGCAAGTGACAAACTTAACCAGGATGCCTGAGCATTTCTTTATCAAAGTTTGAAATATATCAGTCATTTTATTTGGAGAGGTTTTGGCACCGAAAGCTTATTGTAACAGGATTAACATATAAATATTATCACAGCCAGCAGGGTGTTTTAGAATGAATATTAACAGCAAATATTATGAGTCTGTATGAGAATAACTAATTGAGCCCATCTGTCAAATATGATTTGAAGTTCTCAGTGCCTTGCATATTATGGGATTGCGACAGTGTTCCAGATTAGTGGTGAAGCAATTACAAAGTTCTCCCCAATTCTTCTGATTTCATTCTCAGGCAATAATAATTTTGTAACACTCTAAATCCTGACCCATGAGATTATTAGATGGGCTTACTACTTGTAGCACCTGTACAGCACTCCTGTTCTTCTCTGTGAAGCATCTTCCATCCCTCTATTGTCATGGAGATGACCAAAAAACCAAATAGAAAATGGTGTGATGGGAATTAACCGGTGGCTCAGAAACGCGACTTGGGAAACACTTAAACACTGACTGAATCAGGGCGATACATCCTAATGTGTGTCATCCTTTACTTATTTCCTTTGGAAGCTGGCTGATCTTTCTTTTTCTTAATTCCTCATGTAATGAGGTGAATAGAATAGAAAGAGGAGATTAAAGGATTACTGCATTTTTTGAATGTTTTCTTGGGCTAGTCCCATTGTACCTGAAATTGAGCATCTCTGCTATGCTAGTGATGATTGAGAAGAAGAATGGCCAAAAGTGGAAGATCTGGATTCCTGTCTGTTCTTCTCCTGTGTTTCCTGTTGGACTGGAAGCATGCCAGGTGGGATGAGTTTGGAAAATTATTGAGGTAGCTAAAAATGCAGATTTATTGGATTTTCCTCGTCTGCAAAATATGATTGATAGCACTTTCCTGTATCCATAGCTGCTGTGGAGACATTAAGTAAGATGTTCTGATATGATACTAACAGGCGTCATGATCCTCTTAAAATATTTTATTCATGTTTATATTTTTGGGTACAAATTATTATTCCATTGGAGAATATATTATTGTTCTCTGTGCTTATGGCAGGAATGAGGCCATTGATCCAAGCAAGTGCAAAATAATTCTAGACAAAGCTTAGCCATCTCCAAGTAGAACCTTAATGTCTGGATATGACATTATCTGGATATGCCTTATCTCCAAATGTATTTGAACTGTATCATGGATAAGTTTGCTTAGCCATTTCCTTTTCCCTGTGCTTATTGTTGGAAATGTTACAAAGATAGCATTTCTTTTGATACTTTCCCGCTTGCACTTTTGGGTTACATTGAAGGAGTTATTGGCTTACGCTGCCTGAAACCAGATGCTGGTCCTGTATTAGTAGAGAAACTTATTTCATTTTGAACTGTGAGTGACTGAATCAGTCTGTGATAATATTGACACAGTAAGAGACAATGACAGTATTTTCTGGGCTACATCCCTCATTTGGTCCTGCGTGTCTCATTTTTTCATGATACCATACTTCAATGCTTAATTTTCTTAACACTTTTATAATGCAAGATATTAACTTGATATTAGATAATAACAGGGGACAGGAAAACGTATGGCAGCATTGTCTTTGATTTTCCTACACAATACTTTCTTTTTATTGCATTTATACCATTATCCTTAGTGCCCTATATTTCTCATTTTCAAATCTCTTTATTTAACATTTAGGTTTTATGTTGTAACAGCAGTGAGCTATGGCCTCATTCTCTTACTTGTTGCATCTGCCAGTACATTTGATAGATTCTCAAGAGCGCTATAATCCTAAAATGCTTCTGAAGCAACAAAAGCAACAAATTTGACATAAATAACAGCCTAATAGCCACAATAATTACATTATGTCTCTTGCTGGTGTTCATCAAAATGCTTCATAAAAATAGTTTTATATTTTAGATCACCATTAATTTTTTTTCCTTGCTATTCCTGTGCTTACATGGCTTTATCAACTAGAGGTATATTATTGCTCAGAAAAAAAAATTTCTACTCAATGGAATTACAGAAAAGATGCATGATGTAGCAAAAATAATTTCCAGTGTATTTTGTCCCATCACATCATGTGTGAATCACATGAGCTTCAGTTTATCATGATGAAACAAAAGCAAGGAAAAGACTGTAGGAATCATAAATGCTTTCAGATGGGATATATTCAAATACGATATTAAAAAAGCTGGAGAAGCAGAGTGGGCGAAGGGTTGGGTTAGGCTGTATGTTTGGGTATTTTTATGGCAACCCAAGAGATTATTTGATTTTTTTTTTTTTTTTCTCTTCAGAAGATAAAGCGATATGTGAATTCTGAGCACAAAAGATTTCTCCTGTTCTTTTTTTATACTATTTTTATTATTGGGGGGGCGGGAGGGAAGGGAGAAGGGAGAAGGGAGATATCTTTTATGTGGTTCCAAAATTACTTTCTGAGTATAATTATTCAGCCCTAAAGAACTGGCTATTCACTCGGCATCCTTGATGCTGATATAATATGTTAAGATACGTATTATCGGGCAGATGTAATATGTTAATTTGATTCTGAAATACCAGAGTTTAACTCCATTTATACTTCCGAGGCATATGGGTAATGATCAGCTGTAAATGTATTTATCCTGGGTAGCTTTAGAGTTTCATACTGTGTACCGTCTGGGTTTTTATTTTACCTTCCTGTGTTATTTGAAACCTCTAGGCTTGTAAGAGTTGATACCCTTTGAGATGTTGAGGCAAAATAAATTTGTATGAACCAAGCCTCAGTGCATCATTCTTTTACATGCTGACCCACTTTTTAAAATTTTTTTAAAAAGAAAACTATTTTATTTAT